ACTTTCACGGTAAGAAAATAATTAAATAATTAAATTTGTTAACTGAAAAAAGCTGCCTTTACCATCTAAATCTGAGTTATGCTTCATACACATGTATAGGGCATCCAGAGGTCAGAAAAAAGTGATCAAACCAATATGTGGAAGAAAATTGTGTCAGAGAAAGAGCATGAGCTAGCACTGTCCTTTATAAATCTGTCATTACTATGAGTTTCAGTTTCCTCATACTTCCTCATCAGAATATCTACCCAGCAGAATTGCTAAGAGATTTGTACTCTTTAAAATACAGCCTTGTGCCAAGTGCATTGTATATGTTCAAAAAATAATAGCTATCATTTTTATGATACATATGATGCCTCTACATTTTCTCTAAACCATAAACTAAATAAGCTCACAAAAATTGTTAAGGGAAATGCTTTCTTTTTATGATAGCTATGAGTTTATTTTCTGAACACATTAAACCCCCAACTCTCTCCTCCTGTAGGGAGCACAGTCTGTTGACTTTGGATCAAATTGAATTGAAACAGCCTGTATCCAGGTGATATCCAGGATGTCTGCTCAGGAGGAACCCAGACACGGAGGAAAGCCCAATCTGGTGCTGGGGAATAACTTGGCAGGCACAGGAACATACAGGGAAAGAAAAAGCTGCAGACAAAAGGGCCCAACTAAAGGGAAAAGCCACTGAAGGAATAGGAACCAGAATTATATGATGATGATGATGACGACAATGACAATGACAAAGAAGACAGTGATGAGAAAAACTGAATCACAGAGCAGTTAAGGGAATTGGCCATGTTCATACAGCAGGTAAGGGATAGAACTTAAATCTGAATCTTAGAAATCTGGCTCCAAAGATTTGGCTCTTAACCCAAAAACAATAAGGCGTACACAATTCCCAGTTCACATAAAAGTGGAAGGGCAGCCTACTTCACCTCTGTTAGAGCAGATCCAGAAACCTGCCTCATGTCTACCACTCAGAGCTTGGCCTTAATAACCACTATTTCTCACTCCAAACCAAGTTTTCTAACTGCTCAAAGCAACCAGCCCTGTTTGTGATTATGTGGGTAAATAAATCCCTGTGAACTCACTCTCTCTCTTCTCTCTCCTGCTCCCTCTCTCTCTGCTTAATAATGCTCAAATGTCTCCTGGCATCCTATCATGCTCCTGGGAGCCTTTGACTTTTTACAACAGATCCATTTATTGGCTGTCATCTGCCAGAGAGCAGAGTCTTCATCATTGTAAGTAACGATTCAAAACTTCTATCCTGGATTGGCCTTTCCCACTGGTAGTGTTGTCAGTGACTTCCATGGCATGATAAGAAGGTCTTTGCAACAAAATTGTCTTTCTAGTCATAGAAAGACAGCTATGTCACTGAAATGCTGTTATTAACATTTTATTTCTTTGAGTTGAACATTTTTTTCTACCTGCTACTCCAACAAAGATTATAGATACATTCCCTCAGATATCTGCACAGCTGTCCTCTTTACTTTCTTCTGATCTTTGCTCAAATGGCAGCAATCCCTTCCATGATGGCCCTACTGGAATTTCAACCCACCACCACCTCTCCTTTCTCCAGCTTTATTTTTTTTTCATAGCATTACCACCATCTGACACATGTCCCTTATTTCTATATTTATTTATTTTTCTTCCCTTCCAACTTCAATGTAAGTTCCATGAAAACAGACATTTTATATATATAATTTTGCCCATAGCTGTAGTCTTGAAACTTGAACAGTGCCTAGGACATAGTAAGTGCTCAATAGCATTTGCTAAATGAGTAAATTAATCAGCAGTCAATTAATAAATGAATGAATGGCACAGTAGGTCCCCCTTCTCTGTGGTATATATGTTTGGAAACCCCCAGTGGATGCCTGAAACCAGGGATAGCACCAAATCCCATGTATACTGGGATATTTTCCTATCCATACATACCCATGATGAAGTTTAATTATAAATGAGACACACCAAAAGATTAACAACAACAATAATAAAATGTAACAATTATAAAAATATGACAGCATCACTACTCTTGCTCTTTGGAGCCATTATGAAGTCAAATAAGGGTGACAAACACAAGTGCTGCAATACTATGACAGTCGATCTGATAACCGAGCTGGCTACTCATTGAGGAAAGGGTAGGGAGCATAGGCAGTGTGAATATGCTGGACAAGAGGATGATTGACATCCTGAGTGGCGCAGCAGGACTGGGTGAGATTTCATCATGCTGCCCATAATGCCACACACTTTAAAATGTATTGATTGTTTATTTCTGGAATTTTTCATTTAATATTGTCGGACCATCGTTGATTGTGGGTAACTGAAACCTCAAAAGGCAAAACTGTGGATAAGGAGGGACTACAGTATATTCAGTGTAAATTGGTTTTCAGGATAGTTTTCTTCAACAGAGATGATTAGGCAGGATAAGAGCCTGGAAATCCAGAAGAAATTATGTGAAAAATAATGTGGAAAGTAGAAAAGAGAACTAAGAGCCCTACTCATATTGTATTAATCCATTCTCATGCTGCTATTAAAAACACCCCCAAGACTAAGTAATTTACAAAGGAAAGAGGTTTAATTGACTCACAGTTCCACAAGGCTGAGGAGGCCTCACAATCATGGTGGAAGGCAAATAAGGAGCAAAGTCACATCTTACATGGCAGCAGGCAAGAGAGCATGTGCAGGGGACCGCCCCTTATAAAGCCATCAGATCTCATGAGACTTATTCACCATCATGAGGACAGCACAAGAAAGACCTGCCCCCATAACTCAATTACCTCCCTCCAGGTCTCTCCCATGACATATGGGAACGGTGGGAGTTACAATTCATGATCAGATTTAAGTGGGGACACAGCCAAACCATATCATACATCTCTTGGGGATATTTTTCCAATATTCTATGTTATCACCTTAAAAATTACTTTTTAAAAGTCAGGGAAAATATATGATTTCATGATGCTCATTATAATTTAATTGTCCCCCATTGAATGCAGGTCCTGGTGAAAATATTTTTACAGTTCTTCCTTCAGTGATGCATGTATTTATTATTATATTTCCCCACTACTTCCTCTACATTTGTATGTATAACCATGAATGTGTCCCCTTGCTCATTTTAGCTTGCATTTTTATTTCTTTCTTCTACTTTTTTGTATCTTCCCCACAACTCTGAAGCCAAAGCAATTCATCCAGACCTAAAATTCAGGAGACTCCACATGGAGCATAAACAGCAGGACCTGTAAATACAAGAATTTTGTCTATTCTCTCTTATGGACTATTGAGAAGAGAGTTTATCAGAAGCAGAAAAATCCTTTAACCTAAGACATCATTTTTAGCAAAGCTGTTACTGTTTTGAAATTATTAGGCCCAAAGTTAAATTTAAAAGCACTGAATACATCCCATAATTTTATAGAAATTAATATAATCTAGGTCAGCTTTTAAGTTTTAATAGTATAATCAATACATCTCCTTTGTGTGTGTGTGTGTGTGTGTGTGTGTGTGTGTGTGTGTGTGTGTAAGTTTTCCATGCTATTTAATGTGACTTTATTACACCTTGAGGCCATGTGTTCCCTAGAGTGTTCCAGGCTCCAGACTGGGCCCTCTTCTCCTTTCTGTTTATAACAGGGGGAGTCCCGGTGCACTAGAAAACATCTATATGGTGATAATTTTCTAACATTTCTCTCTAGTTTTTATCTCACCCCTGAGTGCCAGACTCATAGATACAGTTGCTCCCTGGATATCTCCACTCCAAATACATAATACACAACTCAAACATGACAGGTCCAAAATGGAACTTTTGATTTCTACCCAGAATTAAACAGTTTAGCAGGTGCATTAAACACAACACTTCTATGAGCCTTTCATATGCTATTGCATGTTTTTAATTTCCAATAGTTTCCCAGACTTGAGAAGTGCTGTTCTGGAACACCCTTTGGAAATACTGTTCTGGAACCAAAGAGCTTTGAAGTAAAACCTATGATCTCAGCTAGAACCAAGCTAATGGAGTGAAGTACCCTGCTCTGGAGCAAAGGTACTCCTAGAAGCATCAGCGTGCAGAGGGAAGCGGGACTGCCTACATACAGCTGATCATCTGATTCGCAGGAGCAGCTATGATGTATGTAACTGATTTCAACTCACAATAACAGTAATAATAATAATAAAGAGTTGTGTTAGGAAAAGAAAAGTGGAGTCTGACCTGATGCCTTCATTTGATAAAATCACCAAGGACTTGCAAGATCATCCAGACTCAATTCTGGGTCAAGAGAGAAGAGATTGTCAGTCCAGCCACAGTCTACGTCTGTGAGTTTTTAAAAGACACGGACACTGGCCAACCTTTTCATGTTGTACATTCTTCCAATTTAGCATTCAGTTTTAATATATGTAATTTTCAAACTGCACCCTTTCAAGATTGGCAGAGAAGCTTTTTTTCTGAACCTCTCCATGCACCTCATGTCCCCCACTTTGTCGGTGAATTTTCCCTGGGTTTGTGCGATGTCTACCATTCCAATCCTATGTGAGTTTTTAAAAGACGATTTCCATCTTGTAGCTACGTCACGAAATCATAAAGATAAGGAGAGGAGGGGATAATTGCCCTGCTTCTTCCAGGAAAAAGTAAGTGCATTCCTACAAAATGATGGTGGCAGTGACTCAGCAGTCAAAGACCATTATCACATTAAGAATTCTACTGCAGTAGAAAAAGAACTGACTCTGGAGTCAGGCTGACCTTAGCTCCCATTCTGGTTTAGTGACAGTGATCCTGTGCTCTTCTAAGTAAGTTAATTAACTGCTAACAGCCTTAGTTACCTCATAAGTGAAACGAGGACAACCAAACCCAACTTGAAGGATTACAGTGAGAATTATTTATTTTTGTATCCATGCATTTAATGTGCCTAGGCAGTGCCTATCTCCTAGGAGGCCCTTATTAGCAGAAGATTAACTCTTCAGTCCCACAGTATAATTTTAAAGCATTACCATTTTAATATTTACTACATTTTGAGTCCTGTAGGAAGCTGCTTCCAAAAAGGAAAAGAGAAGATTTATAATCTGAATAGATTAGAGTTTCATAAAGCACAATGAAGCATGCAACAGGCTCTGTTAAAAAAAATAAATAAATAAGGCACCATGCATGTATTCTGCTGCCAACTCGCGATTATTCATGTTAGGAAGGAAAGCAGATGGGGGAAGTCCAAAAAAGTAAGTAATCAAAAAAAAAAAAAAAAAAAAAAGCAACTCTTAGATTTGTCTTGACATTTGCACTGAACTCAGATGTATGTGATGTGATATTCATGGAAAGATTTTTAAGGTGTTTTCCATAAGAAATCCTGACTTCAGACAATCAGCGTAGTCACAGCACTTTCCTACCTCTTCCCCCACACAGGCACTAGGCAGCTCCTCAAGCAGGCTGATCCAAAAAAAAAAAAAAAAAAGCAGTGTGAGCTAACGTTTCACTCACTCAAACCTCCCCATCCATAAAGATAGCTCCATTCCTTGGGTAATATCTGCATGTACAGTAAGTACAAATGGAATGAATATGGAAATACCAACAGAGCAAGTGATTAGGAATCCCCACAGAGAAAGCAAAACATATGTAATTAGATAATAGAGATTTGGGTATGCTGTCCTTTGGCAATCGTTTTTAATATTAGTTTGGGGATAACAGAAAACCTAGCAGCAGAGAGGATGTTAGTGTGATGTAGGAACTAAAGAGAACATCCGTAAGAACACACCCCCATCAACCACTTGTGTTGAGCTTGGCATTGGTAATTAGAGGCAAAGAAGGCACTTCAGTCCCATGGAGACTGTTAAACTGTAGGCCTATCTTTTGAAACTCCTTAAAAATGCAATCTAGTGTTTTCCTCAGTTCTACAGAGAATAAGCCTCCATTGGCTTAAAAAGCTATCCCAAAGGAGAAAAAGTCTCTTCTAGGCCAAAAACAAAAAAGACCCACATATATAGACATCACTGTTTCAAAAACAAAAATGGTCTCATTCATGCCCCTCCTGGCATTTAAATCACTAGCGATGTCACTATGCAGATTCTCTCACAAAGAGGTGGGGTTTATTTCTTCAACCCTCCAATCAGGATGGGCCTTGGGGCTTGCTTGCTTAACAGAATGTGGCAATAGAGGATGTGTGTGAGTTTCTGAGCATGGGCCTTAAGAAACCTTGCAACTTCCACATCTGCACTCCCTCAAAATCTTGCCCAGTGGCCATAGGAACAAGTCTGGGCTCACCAGCTGTTGGAAGACTCTTCATATGGAACAGAGGTAAGCTACTCCCACTGAAGCCAACCAAACAACCCAGTTGCAAAACTGCCTGGCAGTAGACTGAAGATGAACAAATGAATCTAGTGCAGACTAGAAGAGCCAATTAGCTGAACCCAGCTCACATTTCTAACCAACAGAATTATAAGGTAAATAAATGGTTGCTTCTTAAGCCACTATGTTTTGGAGTTATGTGTTACACAGCAAATCTAACTAATACACCATTCCAAGAAGAGATGTTTGAAAAACAAGCTTCAGCATGTGACATGGATGATCCTGGATGTGGGAGAAGGATTTCTGGGTGAAGGATGATTACTAATATTAGTGCAAAGAAATTCTGAAGGTGGGGTGAGGCTCACCCCCTCATGAGCTTCTACATAGCATTTTACTTCAGCATGTAGTAATCTGCAGAAGGGGCTAAATTTCTGTGGTTTCCTTACATTTGTTAAATAGCTACAGTGAACAACTTCCTGTGATATTACCAAGAGATAATAGCCAAATTCTGTGATCTCCAGCAAAATAGTTTCTTAAAATTCAACAATGCTTCACATGCTTTAGAACTTGCCCAAAGACAAGCCAGACTGAAGGCCTCTGAGTCTCTCACATTAAGACTACTTTCCCCATTTCTTAGACTTAATGGCCACAAATTCTGGGAAATATCTGGGGGCTTAGAATTGCCTTTGGGAAATGGCCTAAAAAGACTCAACTGCATTCATCTTTACTTATATCTTCTATGGATTCCCCAAAGAGAATGAAATTTACTTTGACAACAGTAGTGCTTCACAAGGCCATTTGTTAAAGCAATTTATTTCAGTCATTTAATTTACAATTTAAAAGAAACCATCATAAGCCTTCACAACCTTTTATAGGCAACAGACCGCACAAATTATAGCACATTGTCCCTGTTCCTTTAAAAAGCAAATGACTCTGGACCCATAGAGAATGCTGGGTTTAATGTTCAGTAACAGGACCTGGGAAAAAACTGGACCAGCTGACATCTGCAAAGTAGGCACCAGTTAGGCTGGGAGAAAACAGAAAAAATTCCCTTAGGTTTAGAAGTCCTGTTTGTGAGGGAAAGAAAGGAAAGTCTGGGGTCAAGTTTTAAATGTACCAAGTGCTCAAGAGGAGCTGCTTAGGAAGAAGAAAAGAACACAGGAACGTGTAGAATGAGGCATAGTTATTGGAACAAAAGTCAGCTCAGACAGAAGCTCTGGGTTGACCTCTAATCCTCTATAAGATTAATAGGAGAGAAGAAAAAAATGTGTAGCTAGAGGAAGAGGTAACACTCTTATTCTTTCAGTCTTCAAAAAAGGATGCCATATCCCCTTACTCTTACCTATAGCAGTGTTTAGGGCTTTGCCCCCTTCTCTCTGATGCTTACTTTCCAAGGGCAATAGACTGGCAAAAGCTGCCATTTCCAAGTGTACCTGTAACCGCCCAACCCACTCTAATCCTGTTCCTTCTAGGACACGAAGAGCTGGGGCTAATGGCTCTTGTATAAAAGCAGTTTGATGGAAAGAAAGAAACAACCAGGGAGCTCTGCAGTCAATATCAGGCTCTCTGAGACAGGAGGACAATGAGCATTTGACCTTTCAGGTGCGTGGCTGCCTCACCATTCATGTCTCATCTGAGCACCAGGTCTCACCTGCTCTCTCAGAGTCAATGTATCATAAGAGCTCTCTGTTCAGGCAGACAGAATAAAAATAGTCACCTGCTCTTGATAGCATCCTTCACTCCCTTGTGATCTTCTTTCAGTGCCTCTTGTTTCTCACTGCCTCTGCTCCTCTTGTGCTTGAAATTTTAATTCTTAGGGACTGAATGGAGAAATTGCTATTTTATGGAAATACACACACACACAAACACACACACACACACACACACACACACACACGGCAATAAAACACATGCCACATTCCATGACCAGTCAGTTCTGTTGGTTAGCTTAGCTCTACAGTTATATCCCAGGAAAAATGAAGCCAACGGATGAAGGGTGATTCCCCAGACAGGCAGCCAAATACCATCATCCCAACATCTACCTTATGAGTGTTAAGGTAGGAGGCTCACTACTGATCCAACCCAACAGTGATAAAATTAATCAACCAGCATAACAGGTCAAGAGCGCCATTATCTTAAACAAAGAACAGCTCATTACAAAGCATCATATTTCTTTTCCCCATTCAGAAATCACATGCTTCCCCACCCAAGAGGAAATTGTGATACTTTACCCAATTGGAATGCTGGTTTCCTTCTCATCACTTTCTAAAAATCATCTCTAGAAGACTTGGGAACATGTCACTCCAAAGAGCAGACCTTCAAAATAGTCAAAGAGGTACTGACCTCACAAGTTTTTCTGAAGCCAACAGAAAAGAAAACAGGTGTCTTTAGAGGCATTCCCTCAGCAATAATATTAAAGAAACTGCCTCAGCTCCCTTCCTTCTGAGATAAGCCGCATGGGCATGGCAACTGAACTCATTACCTAGGTGTGCAGATGTGGATGTGTATTTGAGATGAAATGCTGTCAGTACGATAGATCTTTTTCCAAAAGTGCAAAGTTTTATGTCCATTGACTACTTATCAAACTTTCCTCATGGTGACTTCACATCGCAAAAGTCAGCAGCAATTTTCTTAGGTACTACTCGTGTTTGTTGCATACTGCCAGACCTCCCAGCTACCATCACATTATCTAACAGCTCCCATTATGTAGCACTTACTGTATACCTGGTACTGCAAAAAAGACTTCACTTACAGTATCTCATTTAATTCACAAGTATGTACATTGGTATATAGCATATATAATTATCCACTTTTTACAGATCATAAAAGTGCCTAGAGAAGATGAGTGGCTTGCCTAAGGTTATTAAAAAAAAAAAAAAAAAAAAAAAAAAAAAAAAAAAAAAAAAAAAAAAAAAAAAAAAAAACATAGATCAGGACTCAAAACTTTGTCTAACTGGTGCCAGAGCCCAAGTTCTTAATGACTATCCTCGATCATCCTTTAGTTAACTCTTCACCTGATGATGGAATCTAGCATATCCTGGAAGTCTTCCTGAATCATTGCCTGCTTCTATTTGGAGTGATTATTTTCATCCCAGGCAATCAAGATAGAATCGATTGCCAAAATGTTTAACCTCTTCCTGCTCAAGGTCCCATGAACTATTCCGACCACAAAGTCTGGAAATGGTATTCAAATGTATTCTACCATATACCACCAACCTGCACTTCAGTTAGAGTGTGGGTCATTCAGTGGTCAGGGGGGCCTGTCTGGAGTTAGTCACCTCTGGATTAGAATAGCAACTACCAGCGTGGCTTTGGGCAAGTTCCTTTACCTCCCATATTTCAGTTTCCTCATATGTAAAAGCAGGAAAAAAATCCCATTGTCCCACTTCTTATATGACAGTTTGGATAAACAGTACAGATGAAGTGTTAGTTGGCATAGCACCTGATACTCTGCTAAAGGCTTAGCAGATGGAACTCAGGTATGTCGATGTTGGGGATATGGGTTACCATTTTTACACAGAGCAAATCATATGTGAGGGGAAAAAAACAAGTTTGTTTTATTGGATATTAAGTAGGCTCACCTCAGGTGACCCCATGCCATTGGCGACTGGGGGATGGCAGAGTGGAGGAGACTTTGTCCTCTCTGCTCTCTCCCCTCTAATCTCTACAAGAAATGCTTCTCCTTCCTCTTCTTGCTGGTAAGAATTACCTGCACCTTGTACCGTCTTTCATTCCTATTTGTGAATGTTGCCATTCCAGACAGCACATGCTGTCTTCTCTCATGTGACTCTAACCCTCATGGCTTAGCCTAAATAACAGGCAGGGTGTAGGAAAAGAAGTTGATTTATTAACAAGGCCTCAAGGTCAAAGAATGCTTCATAAATAACCTCCTCCATTTAAGAAATTTAATATTTAAAAAGCAACGAGATCCATTTCATATGTACCAGATTTGCCAAATCAGAAAGTCTGGGTAACACCAGCATTATGGAGGATGTGGGGAAATAGAACATCCTTTGCATCGCTGAAAAAAAGTAAAAATTGGTTATAATCACCTTGAAGAACAATCCTCATCATGTGACTCTTTTTTAAAATAAATTTGATTGGGGCTGGGCATGGTGGCTCATGCCTGTAATCCCAGCACTTTGAGAGGCCCATGCAGGCAGACAGCTGGAGCCCAGGAGTTCAAGGCCAGCCTGGGTAACATGGCAAAACCCTGTCCTGACCAAAACAAACAAACAAAATTTAGCCAGACATGGTGGCACGCACCTATAGTCTCGGAAGACTATACTCGGAAGGCTAAGGTAAGAGGATCACCTGATCTCAGGAGGTTGAGGATACAGTGAGCCGAGATTTCACCACTGTACCCTAGCCTGGGTGACAGAGTAAGACCCTATCTCCAAATATGTATGTGTATATATATATATATATATATATAATGTTATTGTGTATATTTAAGATATACAACATGATGTTATAGGATACATACGTGTAGCAAATAGCCATGATGGTGAAACAAACTGACATTTCTATGATTTCAGCTACCCATTGTTCTGCCCTGTAGCAAGAGGAACTACAATCTTCTCATTTAGCAAAAGTCCTAATATAATACACTATAGTAACTATCTTCCTCATTTTGTACACTTGATCTGCAAACTGGTTTATCATACATATCTGCTGCTTTGTATACTTTGACCTTCTCCATCCTATTTCCTCTCCCACTCTCTAATCCTGGTAACCACTGTTGCATGCTCTATATATTTGACCCTTTCTTAAAGATTCCATGGATAAGTGAGATCATGCAATATATTTCTTTCTGTATTTAGGTTATTTCACTTAATATAATGTCACCCAGGTCCATCCATGTCATAGAAAATGGCAGGATTCATTCAAATGAATAAGGAAACGGTGGTATATACACAGCATGTGATTCTTTTGATTTTTTTTTTAACTGGTGGCAGTTTTCTTTTTCTTTCCAGCTTTTATTTTAGGTTCGGGGGTATATGTGCAGTTTTGTTACATGGGTAAATTGTGTGTCATGGGGTTTAGTGTACAGATTATTTCATCACCCACATAATGAGCATAATAATCAATAGGTGGCTGGGTGCAGTGGCTCATGCCTGTAATGCCAGCACTTTGGGGGGCTGATGTGGGCAGA